GCAGCAATAGAAAACACAGATTACCATTCTTCATATCTCAGAAACAAACCATAAAGAATGTTTTTGAGAAAAATAGTAAAAGATATTATCAAGAACAGTCACAGACTGTTCAGGTTGTACACAAGCAAGACACAACAGCTGATGGTCTTCTAAAGGTACCAGCTCCCCTTCCACCAAAGTAGTTAACTGACAAACCTGTGTGGGTGGAACAATGGCCTCTGACATCAGAAAAATTATGGGAACTACAACAGCTAGTACAGAAGCTGCTAAGAGCTGAACATACTGAAGAAAGAATTGACCAGTCCTCGGGATTCTCCTATATTTGTTATTTGAAAAAATCTGGAAAATGGATAATACAACAGATCTGAGAGCTATAAATGGGTGACTCAGCCAGTGGGATCTTTGCAGCCTGGAATTCCCTTGCCTCCTTTATTACCTAAAGAATACTCTATTATAGCAATTCATTTAAATGTCTGCTTTTTTACTATATCTTTACAATAACAAAATTTATTATTAGCAAAAATTTGCCTTCACAGTGCCTACTTATAATACTCAACCTGTTAAAAGGTATCAGTGGAAAATTCTACCACAAGGAACATTACACAGCCCTACATTGTGTGAATATTTTGTACAATAGCTGTTAGAAATAATTCACAATTTTCTCAATCTAAAAACCTATCATTATATGGATGGTATCTTACTGACTGATTTAGATGAAAATACCTTAGGAAAATGTTTGATAAAGAGAATTTTGCCTTTCTAGGGATTATAAATTGCTCTTGAAAAAATAGAAAGAGGAGATTCTATCAATTATCTAGAATAAAATGTTTACAAAAATTCAACCACAAAAAGCACAAATCAGGAAAGATCAATTATAAACTCTTAATGACTTTCAAAACTTGCTGGGAGATATTAACTCTCCATGGCCCATAACTGAATTAACTACTCAAAAGTTAAATAATTTATTTCAAACATTACAAGGTGATAAGGACTTAAAGAGTCCAAGAAAATTATCAGCTGGGGCCAAGAGAGAATTGACTCTGGCAGAAAAGAAATTACAGGATACACATATGGATCAGTTGAATCCAAAACTTGATTATATTTTAGTTATTTTGCCTTCTACTCATTCTCTCACATGAATTCTTATGCAGAGAGAATATAATGTCATAGAATGGCTATTTTAGCACACAGTGTAAAAAAATTAAAGACCTATGTAGAAAAGGTTTCTGAATTTATTTTGAAAGGAAAATGAGACTTTGTCAGTTAGCAGGAGTAGACCCAGCAGAAACTGTAGTACCTTTTACTAATGCTGAAATTGCCTCATTGTGGGCAGAAAATGAACACTGGCTAAGAGCTTAAATAGTTTTGGGGGGAAAGATTAACAAATATCCCCAAAGCAAGAGACTTCAATTTATGAAAAGAACTAATTGGATTCTCCCTCATATAGTAAAAGAGACACCAACTTCTGGAGTCCTTTTATTCTATACTGATGCAAATAAATCAGAAAAGGTCCTTTATAATCAGGAAAAAGAAATAAAGTGGTTCCAAAGCCCTTATGATTCAGTAAAAAAAAAAAAAAAAGAATAGAGCTGTATGCCATTCTTGCAGTGTTATCAGATTTTCCTGAACCTCTTAATACAGTTACTGACTCCCAGTACGCCAAAAGAGTTGTTTTACATATTGAAACTGATGAACTAATTCTGGATGATTCAGAATTAACTTTGCTATTTCTTTAATTACGTGTAATCAGAAATATAAACCATCCATTGTATAAAATCTCTAGCACAAGGTGATGGTGAAATTGATCAGCTAGTAGAAATGTGATAGAAACCTCAGAATTTCATAAGAAACACTATGCTAGCAACAAAGGTTTAAAGAAAGATATTTCTATCACTTGGCCAAGAAAATTATGGAAAACATCTACTTGTTCTTTGTATAAATGAACTCCATTATTTGCAAGAAGTAACCCAAAAGACATTCAAATAAATGAAATTTGGCAAACAGATGTGTTTAATTTTTCAGAGTTTGGAAAACTAAAGTATGTGTATCATATCATAGATATATACTCAGAATTTCAGTAGGCAACTACTTTAAGTTCTGGAAAGGCTAATTCTGTAATTACACATTTATTAGAAGGTATGGCTATTATAGGAATACTTGTTCAAATGAAGACTGACAATGATGTATCATATGTTTCTAATAAAATGAAACCATTTCTTGTATGCATATTATAGGTACATGACAATCTATAACTATTCCTCAGAATTTCATAAGAAACACTATGCTAGCAACAAAGGTTTAAAGAAAGATATTTCTATCACTTGGCCAAGAAAATTATGGAAAACATCTACTTGTTCTTTGTATAAATGAACTCCATTATTTGCAAGAAGTAATCCAAAAGACATCCAAATAAATGAAAGTTATAGAAAGATATAATCTCACTTTAGATCATGTTTAATAAACAGAAAGGGGCAATAAAGACCTCAGAGATAGCAGTGCTTTATTAACGTTAAATTGTTTAAATGCTAATGAGAAAAAGAACAACCTCTGCAGAGAGATATTGAATAGAAAAGCTACTGAATTAAATCAGCTTGTATATTTTTTTTTTAAATTTATTTATTATGTATACAATATTCTGTCTGTATCCCTGAAGGCCAGAAGAGGGCGCCAGACCTCTTTACAGATGGTTGTGAGCCACCATGTGGTTGCTGGGAATTGAACTCAGGACCTTTGGAAGAGCAGGCAATGCTCTTAACCACTGAGCCATCTCTCCAGCCCCCAGCCTGTATATTTTAAAGACCTCATTGAGGTCTTCCATTTGTTTAGTTTTTTCTTATTCAATTATAATAATTCTTTTAAAATATTCCATTGACTTCAGAATGGAAACTCGGATACATGTTATGTTGAGGAAGACGTTTTGCCTTTGTTTCCACTGGAGAAGAAAAGGTGTAGATACCATCAAGAAAGATTAGATTCAAACAGGAGAGGCTTCCTCAATGAGGAGAGACTATAGTTCATAAAGTTCAGTCATTCAGTTCAAACTAACTCATAAGACTAACAAATGCCTTTGATTAGGCATGAAAAAAATCAAAAATAATATTTTCAAATGATAATTTATCAAAGACACACTTGCCTTACTGGCATGAAACGAAAATGGGCTTTCTTAAATAAACTACCTGTCTTAACTCCATATTAGAATTTGGATTGTAGATTGTCATGTGGCCCACGCCATCTTGGACATCAGCTTTTCAGTTTTCTCTTAAATAAAAATTTTTGTTGTTTGGTTTTAAAAACATAGTTAAGAGATTTTAAATGTTTTAGATAAATTCAAAGGGTTACTATAGCTCAAGCTTGTTTTCTAAATCTCTACGAGTTGGAGTGATTTGAAGATAAAAGGTTTGAGTAGGGCAGTGGTAGCCCATGACTTTAATGCCGACAGAGATAGGTGGATCTCTGTAAATTCTTTTCTAAATTCTAGAGTAATGGGGAACAAGATGGTGGTGGCATGCACCCTTAATCCCACCACCCAGGGACAAAACTCAAATACAGTTCCTAATTGGTAGGTTTGCATACTAGAGAGATCACAAACTATATTAACAGGTTATTATAAAAATCTTCTACAGGCTTATTTAGAAGGTAACTAATTTCCAATGTGGGCAAGAACAAAGAGCAGCTTTTGCGACTGCCAGTAAGCTCTTCTCCGTGCATGCAACCCTGGCCAATATTGAGCCAGATACCCTAATTATGGATGTCATGTTTATTGGTGACTTGGCAACTGGGAACTCCTCATAAAGCAAAAAGGAGTCTACCAACATTTGCCTGTTGGCTTCTTTTGCAAATGCTTTCCACTTACATAGAATAAATATTCCTTCTTTGAGAAACAAATCTGGACATCCTACAAGGCATGGAAAACCTTATATTCAGTCACCGCCAGCCACCCTAGGATCAGTCCTAAGAGTGCCCCATACAATGGTGGACTGGATCTGTTTGAAGACAGAGTCCTTTGCAGGCTTAGCCCTGGAAGCCAAAGTGTTACAGTGGAACTGGTACCTGTCTGATTCTTTGTGACCAGGATGTGGTAGCAAAGGGGTCTTGCCTTCTTGCACTGAGGAAATAGCTCAGTTACCCATAATTCCCATCCCTAAGCTTGTTCACCCCTCCCCGCAAAGAGGTACCCATTGGACTCTGGGCACTGACCAAATGACACAACATTTGGTTAAAGCACAGTTTCCTGTTAGGGGGATGGAATGGCCAAAGGCAAGGGCAACACAAACTCAGCATCAAACTGTTATGCTAGGAAGGCCAACTCGTGGTGTGTGCCATGGGATAGCTCAGCCCTAGTACACAAAGTTAATCCAAGAGCTTTCTGCTTGATATTATAAGCAGGATTAAATCAAATCAACCATAGGTTGAGAGCAAGCAAGCAACCAACTTCCGTGAAAAAGTCATAGAGTGGGTGAAAGTCAAGAGGATGGAGAGAGAAGCACACAAGAAGTAGAGGGGAGGGTGGAGGGTGTCTCCAGGCAGCGTAGGAGAAAGCCCCCTTCTGGGGCGATGGCAGAGGAGGAAGCAGCTGGGTGCTTTCTCTGCCTCTCTGAGCTTGCAAGTTTTTACCCCAACATCTGGCTCCTAAGTCTTTGTTGATAAAATGACAGAGACTTAGATAAAAAAGAACCCTAAAGACTATACTCAAGCTTGCTCTTCTACAAGCCTAAGAGAAACATTCTGAACCTGCACAGCCTTCCACATCCGTGGAATAGAGTGGTTATGCTGATTTCTGGCACCAGCTTGGAATAAAAGAAAGCAACCAGTATATTGTCTCTTCAGTAAAGTCATTCTAGGCAAAGACTTAAGAAAGGAAAGAAAAAGGAAATGAGGAATGTCAGAACAAGAAGCAGCCAGGCAAAGGGAAGCCTTGGAGCCACGGAGCTGGATGTACGGGGCCCGCCAGCGCCAGCTCCCTCAGAGACCACCCTTCTTCATATTTTGTTTTTTTACAGGTACTTCAATCCCAGGGTCAATAAATTTAGAAAAACACTTGTGACAACCCATCCTCACAAGACCACCGTTCAGTCTCCTAGGCCAGTTCTTTTCATGAGCGCTCCAAACAGGCACAACAGCGAGAGAGCTCCCAAGGCCAGGAAAGAGCAAATCCTCTCCGAGTGTGAGAAACCTGCCAAGAGGCTTGGCTACGGGAACTTGATTGACAGAGAGCAATGTGGGGAAGTTATCAAAGGGCTTGGAGAGAGGACCGGGTTGACTTGGACCCCGTCCAGGAACGGGGAGGCAGCAGCCCAACTGAGGGCTGCTGAGGATCTCCACTCTTGGAGCAGGTGGAAGGACTTTATTCGAGGGTGCGCTGTCAGCGGCGACAAAGGGGGTGCCCCAGTGCAAGCTCTCTAGTGCCTGCTCAGTCAGCAGCACGAGCTTGTCGAAGCCGTGAGAGACTAACTGGGTGGCCAGATGATGAAGAATGAGAAGAGAGAAGAGAAACTAAAGATCCATCCTCTTACTCTCATACCGAGTCCGGGTTGACTTATCAACAGGATTTCCTTCCTCCCAAAGCAGGAGCAACCACCAAGCGGCTCGGCCCCTCCACCTCTCCTGGCACAACACCAGGTCCGCCAAGTGCACCAGACGGAAGACGCAGATCTCTGAACTGCATTCGGCTAGCAGTGCATATGCTTAGGCGCCATAATGGATGTGGCTGCATGGGATGACTGCGGGCACCCGACCCCGCTTCGTTCTTCAATCCTCCACTTTCATAAAGCCTGGTAAAGGATTACTCCTGCCAGGACTAGTCCTCATTGCCCAAATTTAAAAAAAAAAAAAACAACCCCACAACGTCCTATTATGTATTACATGTAAATGTTGTATCAGACACAAAGCACAGCATAAAATTGTCAGATGTCTAGCAGACCTGATATGATCCAGGGCTTTATGCCTTAACGCCTTAACAATTATTTCTCTTTCTTGAAGCCTACTTTCCTGATTGCTCAACCTTATTGATACCAGATCCTAGGAGTGAGCCTTCCATTCAGTGTGGATGTTAGGCAATGTGTGGTCTCTGCAGGCACAAAATGTGATGCTTGGCTAACAGGGACAATGGCGAGCAGAAGTTTCCACGGGAAAAAGCTGCGCCTGTGTTAAATCAGCTACACAGTAAATTGGCTGACTGTGAAATGCTAAAGTGTTACAAGACGGGAGCCAGAAAACGCCTCAGACTATCTGTGGCCCTTTAGGAGGTGTTCTGCGCCCCCTCTGCCTGTCACCTGACATTCCTGTGAGTGCCAGCATCTTCTAATGTGGATGTTGTGTTTTGAATGAGAAATGTCCTCCCAAATGGTTTTAAACACGTGGTCCCCAATTGGAGATGCTGCTTGGCAGGGGTGGTATGGGGAGGGGTATGGAGCCTTCTGGAGGTGCAGCCTCACTGGAGGAAGTACGTCATTGGGTGTAGACTAAAGGGTTTATAGCCTTGCCCCACTTCCTGCTTGCATTCCCTACTTTCCACGCGTGGTTGAGACATGATCTCCCAGCTTCCTCTTCCTGCTGCACGCCCTCCCCACCTTCATAGACTAAGCTTCTAGAATCAGAATGAACTCATTCTTCCTTAAGTTGCTTTTGGGCTATTATTCAAACGTCATTTTCCAGATGAAATATCTGGAAAGTTCTAACACAATATCAAAAATGTCCTCCAAGAAGACTCAATGAAAGCCTGACCAAAACCTCTCAACACCGAAACCTCGATCCTGATTGTACCAGGGCTCCTTTCTTTGGGATGCGTGTGCTGTTTCCGCTTCTGTTGCTTAGCCTTGCCTTCCCACTTCTCAATGAGCATATACAGTTTTTCTCTTCCAGAATCCAACAAACCTGATTACCCACGGCTTCAGCAAAGAAGACCACTTTAGTAATCATTGCCAACGATGCCTTTGTCTGGGGGATTTCATAGACTGTTCCCAATGGAGACTTCAAAACCTTAGGAAAGCGTAGGAGAGACTGTATCTGCCCAACTCAGTTCTGGGCCCCTACCCAGAAGGTCCAAGAAGACCAAATCCCTCAGTAGCCAACAGGCACAAGAATAGCTTAGCAACCTAGGACTCGGCCTGGCTTGGGCTATGAAGACACACTCGCTAGTCTCGTAGCATAGGGCCCTCACCTGCATTAAGTTCCTCTTTCCTGATTTCACCTTAGTAACTCTTCTGGCCAGCTTTCATTCAAGCATATTCTAGAACATACCTAACTATGAGAAGCAGGGGGCCAATTCGGCCTGAACTGGTTCTGGGTACATGTCCAGCAAGAGAAACTCTGTCCTCCGAGGTTTTAGGGAAAATCTTATATTTATTGTTGTATGTCTATGCATAATTGGGACACATATGATTCAAATCAGATGGATCATGGTAAAGAATGTTCGAACCAAGCAAAGACTTACATAATCCAAGCCTACCAGTCAAAACAGAAAGATTGCCCATAACCCATTATTAACAACTAACTCTGCTGTTCCTCAAACCCTTAAAAGGAGGCTGCAGACACTGAACACTACCCAGCACGACAACCATGGCGTCCACTGCTCACTGTACTGTTGTATTGTTTCTGAATACGGTTTCCTTGCCACTTTGCAATCTGTGTTGCCTGGATTCTTTAAACAAGATGCCAAGAGGCCGGAAATGTTGATCCAGGCAACAATGTCCAGCAACACTTCCACGGCCCACTTCAGCTCTGAGGAGCCAGACGGATGGTGCATAGCAGCTCATCTCCTTACAAGTTTAATGTCTCAATTCTTTTTCTATTTCCCTTATTTATTTCATCGTATGTGTGTGTGCACGTGTATAGACGTGCATGCCACAGCAAAATTTGGAATGGACATGCAGGGGGTCAGTTCCTTCCTCCATGTGGGCTGAACTTGAGGCATTGGGCTTGGCTCCTGTCCTCTGAGCCATCTCAACAGCTCTGGCCTCACCTCTTGGGGAGGATGTTGGGTGGCCAGACAGGTAGTAGCAGGCTTGGAGGCCACTGAGGATAGTCTCATTATTAGATTCTAGCTCCAGTTTACCATATAAAAGGATGGAGGAACAGGGGACTTTCTTGGGATCCTCTAAAGGACAGCTATTTTCTCTTGGTTAAAAGAATAGAATCTTAACTTCTCCCTCAGATGCTAACTAGATATAACAGTCTAATCTACTTCCAGAATTAGAGATTACATATTATTGCCCCCTCAAAGTGGTCCTGCCAGTCACCTGGTCAGGAGACCACCCCTCAGGGAAGCTTATTTAGCTGAAGGCTTGCTAAGGGGATGGGAGGAATAATTATCCCCTTAGTGAAGTGACGGACTTACACGCCCCAGATGCCGCTTCAGACCCTCACTGCTAAGCCCACCCTCTTTTCTCATTTTCTAATTCTAAACCGAATCTTTTTCTTTTCCCCTTTCTATGCCTTCCTTAGATGCTGAACAAAACCAGAAGCATGCTTGCCATAGCATATGGAGATTTGTTTTCCCTAAAGATCCTATAGCTCCTTACAGACCCCCACTACTGACTTAAAAGGCGTCTTCCTCCCACACCCCCATCATCTGCCTCAGCAGCCTCAAGAATTTACAACTTGTCCGGCCTGTTTTTCTTGCAAGATACAGTAAAGTGACCCTTCAGCTTCCTCCCAAGATCCTTTTGAAATTATTTTAGCAACCAGACTAGGAACATTGTTACCCCTAATGGATAACATGCAGGTTCTTTGCATGGCTTCTTTGCAAAATGACCCTGAGTCCTCCTCTCAAACTTCCAAACAAGCTTTGTGCTCAGTTGGAACCTCCAGGTCACATATACTAGATCCGGAAAGCCCCATTCCTCTCTCTCCTCTCTCTCTCTCCAAAGTCCTCCCTCTCAGAGAATCTCCAACAGAGGGAAGGCACCAAAAAACCCAGTTCCACATTTTTGGTGGCTACAGGAGCTTCTCCCCTGAAGTTGCCAGCCGCCCAAGTTCCTGCCTAAAGCACTCAGCTTTTGATCATACTTGGGCACAAACCCAGCTTGTGACAGACATGTCATTAGACAGGCATGTCATTACCCCTTGCCTACAACCTATATAAGCTCCCTGCTTTAATCCCGGCGGGGGTGTGACTTCTCCTGCCTCTCTCTTGGGACTGGAGAACTCACCTGGGGAGTTGCTTTACTCAACCTGTTCTTTCACTTTTTCAATTCAGCTTAACCTGGCTTACTGTGTGGACAGAGGAACCTGATATCGTGATATAGAAAACCTATTACTAGCCGGGCGATGGTGGTGCACGCCTTTAATCCCAGCACTCGGGAGGCAGAGGCAGGCAGATCTCTGTGAGTTCGAGACCAGCCTGGTCTACAGAGCTAGTTCCAGGACAGGCTCCAAAGCCACAGAGAAACCCTGTCTCGAAAAACCAAAAAAAAAAAAAAAAAAAAAAAAAGAAAACCTATTACTCCGACAGAAAAGGAAGCACCCTTCTGCCACCATTGGGCGCTTGAGGCATCTCCTAATTTTCTTAGAAACTTGGTTCAGGCTAAACAAATACTTGTGGCTTCCATGCAGAAAAGAGTATCAGGGTGACCCCATCCAAAGAAGAGTTGGGGGTTTATAGAAGATATTTTACTATAGGCTTAAGAGAGTTAAAAGAGACCTCAGAACAAAAGGCACATTCAAGAGCATGGGTGGCGGGGGAGCGAGCAGGGCTCCACTGCCCTTATAGGAGTCACATGTACTATAGAGACCGTCATTTTGGCGGGGTTTGAAGTGTCTTTAAAGGTGGGTGTGGGACAGAAATCAGATCTCAGGGTGGTTCCTGAGGAGGAGCTGGGCATTTGAGAGGATTCCAATTGATAACGTAAAAGTCTAGCTCTCAGGAATGAAGGTCGGTGGGATTGCTTCCCTGTAAACAAAGTTAAGCCTTGTTTGGATTCCCAAGAGACCTCTGGGAGAGAAGGCTGACAAGGCCATCTGTGCCAGTCTTTAAACCTGCTTCATTGTTAGTCTAAATTCCAAAAGGTCCTTATTTTAAAGAGTATTTTAATTACTTATATCTATATGGGTGCAGGTGCCCATGGGGGTATCTGATCTTAGGGCCCCTGGAGCTGGGGTCACATGTGGCTGGGAGCCACCTGACGTGGGTGCTGGGAACAGAACTTGGGTTCTCAGGCTTCTGTGGGTGACAGAGTGGAGCTGCGTTGCTGTCTCCTTGATATAGACCTTCTTCTTAACCACCGAGCCAGCCCTTCACCTACCGTTTCCCCCTTAAAAAACATCTTTAAAGGCAATACTACGTCTTTGTCAGCAGCCTTCAGAGCACAAGTTCGTTGTGCTGTTATCCTTGTTTCTCAACCCAAACTCTAGGTGAGGGCCTCTTTTCCTTCATCCCCATCATTTTCCATCTCTCTAGCCCACCT